TCACAACCAAACAGGTACAGAAGACAACACCAAACAGGTACAGGTGACAACCAAACAGGTACATAAGACAAGAAAACAGGTACTGGTGACAACCAAACAGGTACAGATGGCAAGAAAACAGGTACAGGGGACAACCAAACAGGAACAGGTGACAACAAAACAGGAACAGGTGACAACCAAACAGGAACAGGTGACAACCAAACAGGTACAGATCACAACCCAACAGGTACAGGGGACAAGCAAACAGGTACAGTTGACAAGCAAACAGGTACAGATGACAACAAAACATGTACAGATGACAAACAAACAGGTACAGTTGACAACCCAACAGGTACAGGTGACAACCAAACAGGTACAGGTGACAACCAAACTGGTACAGTCGACAACCAAACTGGTACAGTCGACAACCCAATAGGTACAGGTGACAACAAACAGGTACAGATGACAAGCAAACGGGACAAGCAAACAGGTACAGGGGACAACAAAACAGGTACAGGTGACAAGCAAACAGGTACATAAGACAAGAAAACAGGTACTGGTGACAACCAAACAGGTACAGATGGCAAAAAAACAGGTACAGGGGACAACCAAACAGGAACAGGTGACAACCAAACAGGAACAGGTGACAACCATACAGGTACAGATCACAACCCAACAGGTACAGGGGACAAACAAACAGGTACAGTTGACAAGCAAACAGGTACAGATGACAACAAAACATGTACAGATGACAAACAAACAGGTACAGTTGACAACCCAACAGGTACAGGTGACAACCAAACAGGTACAGGTGACAACCAAACTGGTACAGTCGACAACCAAACTGGTACAGTCAACAACCCAACAGGTACAGGTGACAACAAACAGGTACAGATGACAAGCAAACGGGACAAGCAAACAGGTACAGGGGACAACAAAACAGGTACAGGTGACAAGCAAACAGGTACAGATGACAAGCAAACAGGTACAGTCGACAACCCAACAGGTATATTGCAACCCAGCAGTACAGATCACAATCTAACAGTTACAGATCACAACCAAATAGGTACAGATGGGAGCCTGAAAGTTTGAATGGAATTCCACCAACAGCCCTTTAGAAGCTTTCAATTAATAGCAGCCACATCAACACTTTGCCATGAAAGCTCCAGTTGTATTGTCGTCATAAGAATTGACCTTTTATGTTGTTTTGCATTTCTAACATTCCAAACACTTTCAAGACTATTATGTTTTACCATCATAAATTGCTTAGAAGCTGTGTGACAGCATTTAAACACTATAATTGACTATTTCAACTCACTGTACATAAATGTCTTTCCTTTTTTAACCAGAAATGACCTTTTCAAACCATACTAATTTGTAATCAAGTTATATTGATTTATAGCAACAGTCAGTGAGAAAACATTTAAGGAAATTTTTTGTGAAAAATAATTTGACAGATGAATTACAGAAAATTATTCCTGTCACACTTAACAAGAAAACTTAATAGGAACCAAATATCACCACTTGACTAATTTGCACAAATTATTTTTGATGGTATCACTTTTCAAAAACAAGTCCTGAAGTTCAGATACAGTACAAAATGATACATTTATAGCTCTTGCCTCACATGCAAGATCTTGTAACCATATTAACAAGTTCGAATTTAAAATCATCGCATAAAATATTCAAGTAGAAAGCTCACAATGAAAAACATCTTTGAATATCTAACTCAATTTATTTTTACAGACATCGAAGTCAAACATAATATATCAATAGCAACCTTTATCATATGAAGTTATTCCCATAAGGTTCTTCCCTTAAGACATTCTCAAAACACCAGACTGTATAGAACTTTGACACACATGGTAATTATATTATTGCCATGATATCATTAAGCCTCACATTGACGATCTTAATGCAGTTAATTAGTGTCTTCTGTTTTATATATACCTCTTTTATTTTAACATCTGACGTACCTTGACTTGTAAACGTCATGTTTTTGTTTTTTTTATCGATTTCATCCATTTTTAATACAATATCTATATAAAGACACCCAGGTGTCAAATGAAATTGACCAGAAGGAACAAAAAAAAAAAAAAAATTACTTGATGAGATAAACTAACTTTAGATGATCAATTCTGAAATTCTGCTGCCAAGTACATTTGTTGTTGTTTATTTTGATATTCAAACAAAAAGCAAAGTATTTGAAGTATTTGAAATAGTGTATCTTACCTGTCTGTAAAATTGGCAATGGTAGACAACTAAACAAAGTTCAATAAACATACTGAAGCTTTTCTCATGACTTTAAGGGAAATTATCTCCCCTGACTACAAGATATACAGAGTTTTGCAAAATCAGCACAATTAAAAATCAAATCAAAATCATATGTATAAGAATCATAGATTCCAGTATTATTATTATATCGATATTGGAAGACATAAATCGACGATTCACTGATATAATCGATAATAACTAATAAATACTTGTCTATAATTCACTTTCATAACTGTTTAAATGATTTCAGTGTAAAACATAATTATTCTGTTTATACAATTATGATGGGTCTTTTTCATAAAACACCAATTAATGTCACGATTTCTTTTTCTCATCACTGCTATGTGTAATCACATCATAGTTTTAGACACCTGCTTTTGTATATGTTTAGGGTGAATTTTCATAATTTCTAGACATTTAATTAATTAGTCAAAATTATCAATTGTTTTTCAAATGTGTATCGATCATTGATCCTCAAAAAAATTGTTTCTATTGATGACAGCTCCAATCATATAATTAACATAATTCTTTTGAATTATAACATCTTAATCCTATCTTACAGTTTTATCACTTTTATAATTTATTATGCAACAAAGGATATTTATAGATTTTTCCTTCTTTTGCCATGGCAACACAAAATAGAATTCACATTTAAACAATGTTGAAGGATCATTCCTGTGAAGTTGGCAATGTTTTAATAAAATGTTTCTTAGAAAGCCAGTACTCAAAATTACCTTCCAGGACCTTTTGTATGGGTGAGATACCGAGCTGAAAGTTCTGAAATTTTAATCACTAACAGTAAAATCATGCCTTTTATTGATGCAAAACATGTTTTCCTTTAATATTAATCTATACCTCTGTCAATTTGCAGGCCTTTATTTTCTTCCTAAGCAGGTGCCTTTTATAAGGGCTTCTTTCCCTCAGAAGAAAAAATCTTTTAAATCATACAATTTTCCCTTTAAATACATTATTTACATAAAGTTTCTGTCCCCTTATGCAAAAATACTTTTTCATTTCCCTCCAAATTTAAGGGAAGGACCCTTTCCCTACCTGTATATAAAGTAAGCCCTGCATAATGAATAAATGGAAATAAAAAGATTTAAGAAGCAAATTTTTACACTATCCGTACCACAACACTTAGCCCGATGGCAGCAACTGAATAAATCACACTCATGTGGCCAGTGCTGACCAAGATCAGCCAGCACATTCATACCGTCTTATCATGGTCTGCACTGTAACGATAGTTCAGTTAGTATTTATTTTTAAAAATTTCCTATAATTAAGAATGGTTTTGTCTCCACTAAAAAATGGAAAAGTCCATTTTAAATTATTTAAAATGGAAAAGTCCATTTTAAATTATTTAGAGTGGTATGCCATTTCATACCACTCTAAATGCATATCCTAAATACAGAGCATTGTAACTTAAATTGTATATAACTCAAATAATGACCTGTATGTTAATTTGTCAAATGTGTGACACCATACCTTGACAGTTCATACTTAAAAGATTCAATAGTCTTAGTTTTTCTCACAAATACAAAAAATATTGACCATAAAATACTATACCCAGCTAAATTTTTTTCCGACAAAAAAAATTCTTTTCTTAGAGAGATCATGTGACAGCCAAGTAGACCAGAATATACATCATTGACTGTTGCGAGTAAAGTTGGGTGTAATCCTATATAAAGTCTGCCAATATTTATTGATATATACCATGATTAATAGACTGGTTCCAAACTATTATGCCAATATCGTCAGCATATCTGTGAAAATATTGTCTTGTCTTCATAACACATTCAATTGTTTCTCTATATAGATTTTAACACTTTTTTATTTATTATTTTTCTTAATCTAGAATCTTGGTTCTATGACAGCTAAAATCATGAAGATGCAATTAAAGCTATATAGCAATGCTGATGAAGTCACATATGCCCACTCCTCCCTTTTAGGAAATATTTGGTTTAAATATAACCATGCTAAATATCTTAAATGGACTTGTCCATCTTTCAATATCTGGATAAAACCAATCAAACTTTTTTTTGGAGAATTTCAAAATATGTACTGACGGAAAAGCGAACGGTGGCAACCATCATCAGACAGCAACTATGAACCATATTTCTACATATGATATGCTTAGCGTACATTTTTCTCAAATTTTATTTCGTTAAAGTATTTTTGGCTCAACCGGACACATGCAGCTTTAAACTAGCATTGTATCTATTTGTTAACTTCGTAGTCAGACACTGAGGTCATCTTAAACATGTGCAGTTTATCATTAGACACACACGGATATATCTCTACTCAGACACACTTAACTTACACAATGCCCAGTTATATAACAATTACAACAAATAAGTTATCATTTATTTTCCACTGGAATGTGCAGAGATTGACAATTGGTTAAGATGTAAATGATGTAATTCTGCACACTGATCTGATATTTGACAACTTATTGATGCTTTCGCATCTTTGTTTAATATATAATTTTCTTGCAAAATTGTTAGACAATTGGTAAAATGCCTGAAATAAATATGCATCCCAATTCTGCAATCTACAAAATTACTAAGTTAAGTTTGTTGTTTAAAAAACAAAAACTTTTTATTCTTATCTCATAATTGAACAATAGATATAAGGGAAGTAACTCCCTGTGTCATAAAGAACAATACACTTATCTTTGAGGTCAGTATAGTTGTCTCCCTTTTTTGTCAAAAAATGTAATAATATTTATAAAGATATGATTAACTTACACTGGTTCTAGATCTGGTCAACTTTCCTTGTGGGGAATTCCCATGGTCTGTGGAGTCCCCTTCTGACTGACCTGAAATAGACAATTCAATACATTTAATATACTAAAAAAAACTTCTGCTTTTTAAGTCTCTTAATTTTTTGGGGTTCAGCATAATTCAATCATTTGCCGGCAGGAAGTTAACCAGTAACCTTCTAAATTTAAATAATGGATTTGCCTCACTTGGAAATTGAAAGTTTTCGAGATTTTAAGACCAAAACATAACCAACAGTATTAATTTTGTATCGTTAGAGCTGGGCCGGCAAATCTAATTTTGGCTTACTGAATGTTTTTATATGATGCTTTTCTTAACATGTCTGTAAGATAAATATGTAGTCAATTATTAAATATTTCCAATTGTCCGTACCGGCTATAGGACATTATCTGGGCAATACGGACAACTGACTTTGCAGCCCCTTGTTAGAGCCTGTACAGATGGAGTGTAGGCTGGCCCTGGCTCTATACTACTATAGCACCTGCCAATCACTTTTCAGTTTCAGTAGGGTAAGGGTAAAAGTGTTCCTAGATTGTGTACAAGTATGTAACTAACCAGGCTTCTTGCCATCAAACTGCCAACTTCTTCGCATAAATCAAAATAAACATCTGCGGAAGTCACATGACAACTGTGATATTGTCATAAACCAAATCATCACAAATAGAAAATATTGTCATCAACCAAATCAATACTAAATATACCGGTATATTACATAAAACTGAAGAGGGCGAGGATATACTGACCAATGACCAATTCACAGTGGGTAAATACATCAACTTCCTAAAGTGCTTGCAAGAAATGATAAAAGTTGTATTGAAGGGACCTTCAGCTTTTCTAAAGGTTAAGTAAGTTATTTATCGACAAATCATTTCATATAACTGTCAAATCAAAAGAATTTAAGGGGGAAATTTAGTTTGCCAACGATAAAAAAACATATTAAACAATAAGGAAACCCCGTGATACCTATTATGTACAAGTCCACTCTCTATATTTAAATCTTCGTTACCCAATCTTTCATTTTTAGAAACACTGACAACTTATAAATTGCTGTGGGAACGCTGTTCTGAAGACAGCTTACAGTGATCTGATGCACTTTCTTATAAAAACTAGAGGATGCTTTTGTAAAAAAGCGCATGTCTCCCCCACTGCTGAGAATAACTGTGAATGGAAGCAGGAATGGAAATGGAGATAAGATAATGTAAATACCCGGTAGTCACTTCAATGAAGGCTGTCTATGGATGGTTTCTATTGTTAAGGTTGTATGAGAAGATGCTTCCTAAACTGTTTGTTTTTAACCAGGTATTCAATTTTGAAAATCCTGGTTATTCAATCAGCGTATGGCAGGCGGGCGTCATCATCCTATGAAGTTTGAGGGTTGTAGGTCTAAAGGAACTCTAGTTATCATCCGGAAAGGAGAAATTAACCAACGGTCGCTTTGTGACCTTGACCTTTGACCTACTGACCATTAAAACAATAGGGATCATTTGATAAATAAGACCAATCATCCTATGAAGTTTGAGGTTGTAGGTCAAAAGGAACTCTAGTTATCATCCGGAAATGAGAAATTGACCAACGGTCACTGTGACCTTGACCTTTGACCTACTGACCCCAAAAAAACAGTAGGGATCATCTGCTCTATAAGACCAATCATCCTATGAAGTTTGAGGGCTGTAGGTCAAAAGGAACTCTAGTTATCATCCGGAAACGAGAAATTGACCAACGGTCACTGTGACCTTGACCTTTGAACTACTGACCCCAAAAACAATAGGGATCATCTGCATAATAAGACCAATCATCCTATGAAGTTTGAGGTCTGTAGGTCTAAAGGAACTCTAGTTATCATCCGGAAACGAGAAATTGACCAACGGTCACTGTGACCTTGACCTTTGACCTACTGACCCCAAAAACAATAGGAATCATCTGCTCAATAAGACCAATCATCCTATGAAGTTTGAGGTCTGTAGGTCTAAAGGAACTCTAGTTATCATCCGGAAACGAGAAATTGACCAACGGTCAGTGTGACCTTGACCTTTGACCTACTGACCCCAAAAACAATAGGGATCATCAGCTCTATAAGACCAATCATCCTATGAAGTTTGAGGGCTGTAGGTCAAAAGGAACTCTAGTTATCGTCCGGAAACGAAGAATGGACGGACGGACGGACTGACGGACGGACGGACTGACGGACGGACGGACGGACAGGGCAAAAACAATATGTCTCCCCCCGAGGTGGGGGAGACATAATTACAGAAATAATTGAATGTGGGATTTTCTAAACTGAATTAACACAGAATCATTTTTTCAAACAGAAAATAAAAGTTGAAGGCCTGACTTTAAATAAGCTTGCCAGTGATCAATAAAATATACACACTGAATTATATACACTTTCAATAAATTATAAGGTGATTCTATTAACTCACTGTGAAATTTTAGTTACATGTAAAAGGAGGCCTTTTGATCAGTCTTAAATGTTACTTGTTCATATTTCTTTGCGAAAATAATTTAACTATAATGTACAATAAAATTGATGATAAATTATCATTATGAATTACCATATAAATCTGTTTTAAGAATGGAGTGAACTGATATGGAATGCTGAGACTTGTCTTTACATCATATTAAAATGAATGAAGAATATAGATATATTCCTGTGAGCAGTATTTTTTTTTTTTATCTATATTAATGTATTGTCACTATTAAATTTAACCAAAAGAATCTATTATAATAAAATTTGGTCTTGAAAAATAATAACAACTTAGAAACAAAACATTACATGAATACAACTTGTAATTGAGAATTTGTAAATTCTTCTTTATTTTAACTTCAACTTGGCATTAAATTTCTCACAGGAAAGTCTTCTATAAAACTTTTTGTTACATCAATTTCAATTTAAATAATTTTCTGCACTGAATTTGTGAAACAATCAAATTGAAACAATCACAAGCCTCGTTGGGTAATGCCTAAATTCTTTTCATGTTTGTTACACGAGACAAATCACTGGCGCAATTATACAGATATAATCCATAAACATCATGCAATGGCATCATCTGTATTTAGCAACTGTACCAGGATTCATATTGATCAACTTTGCTCCAAGTACGACTTTAAAGGAAAAGTGGATAGATCATAAGTTTTTATGGCATTTTCGTCTTTGGTGTATCCTTCCGCAGAAACTGCTGCAATAGTCTCAACACCTTTGTTGGGAAGTTTGGATTCAGTGCCAAAACATCCATAATCGTTTTCTGAGCGAATTTCTCACCAAAAACAAAATGTAAGCAAATTTTATGAGCACAGAAGCTAATCTATTTAAAGGCCCAACTCTTCTAATCATATTAAAGTGGCCTTAATTGTTAAAAAGCCACATTAACTTATTTCTTATATTGTCAATTATATTTTCATTGTTTCAGCTATTTCATATTATTTTATAATATAATATAGATCTTAATTAATATGTCACAAATTTTACAAGCAGTAAAAACGACAATGAGACTAACACAAAAAGATAATCTTCTTTTATTACCTCCCTTGAAGACCTCTGACATATGTCACACTAATTGTAATGGTCATTTAACCGTCTTACAACCCACATAATCTGTGAGTTAGTCGTCTAATAAGGTCAAATCATGTCAAATTACTAGCGGAACATTATCTGTTTTGTTACCATGGGATTTTCCGAACTTCCTGACAATTGTCTGTTACAATCATCCTTTTGGTCTTTAAACTTACCTACATACATTGTCTACATGTCACGTTAGCTGCCACCGAGGTCCTTTAATGAAGACAGCACAATGTCTGCAGTGAATGTTAAACTGTCACGGCTGAAGTTGATTTACTAGGATACAGTCGAACCTTACGTGGTTTATTATATTCAATACCATACAATAGACATAATAGATAATTATCACCGCAATAACTCCACACAGCCTATCAAAGTCGAACAGCTGGACGCATCAGTCATGGGCAAAGTTGATTTACTAGGATACAGTCAAACCTAATGTGGTTTATTATATTCAACTAACTAGAACTGTGTCCAAAGGACACGGATGCCCCCACTGACAACATATAATTATATGGTATATAGTGAAAAATCAACAAAGGGCCATAATTCTGTTAAATTTGGTCGCAGCAAAAATTCCTTCCTTTACTTCCATCTACACATTAAGGTTGTTCATCCCTGGAAGTTTAAGCAAAATCTGCCATCCAGTTTAATAGGAGTTGCGTTCACAAAATTTCTATATGGTATATAGTGAAAAAATCAACAAAGGGTCATAATTCTGTTAAATTTGGTCGCAGCAAAAATTCCTTCCTTTACAACCATCTACACATTAAAGTTGTTCATCCCTGGCAGTTTAAGCAAAATCTGCCATCCGGTTTAAGAGGAGTTGCATTCACAAAATTTCTACATAGTATATAGTGAAAAAATCAACAAAGGGCCATAATTCTGTTAAATTTGGTCGCAGCGAAAATTCCTTCCTTTACTACCATCTACACATTAAGGGGGCATAAAAAATTTGTTTGTATCCCTGGATTAGCTGAGAACATCCAAAATATTTCTAATTCTGGAGTAAATCTTTTCATTTCTTTGCATTATGTCAGGACATACAAATCAATGTCCAGCAGGGGCAAGTAATTTAGGATAATCAACTGAAGCATTTATTTCAGGTGCTCATTTAAGATAATATAATGTCTGAAAGATGATGGCCTTTTACTGTTACTGATGCATTCCCAGTAAACCTTTCAGACCATTACCTATGCTAGCTTTGACATTTTGCTTGGTACCCCCTTGACATTTCACAAAGAAAGTTGATGTTCGCACAGACAAGATAATGTGCAAAAAGCAGTTCAGCAAACCTTTACAGAAAGCTATTTTACAGGAAAACTGTCATCTTGTGACACCTTGTGACTTGATTTACACACTATAGATGCTGAATGTAAGGTTTAGGCAATCATCGCAACATTCTCTTTAATTCACAAGGAGAATTACCGATCACATTTATTCCATTAGTCGAGTCACACACGAAAAAAAAAACTAACATATTTAAACCAAGGTTCATCCTTTTAGATTTCTATAAAACAGCAGAAATAGAGGTAATAAAGAATATTATGACCAATTTTAATCACTTTAAGTGGTCAAATTAACTTAATGAAAGGTTTCAAAATCTGGAATTATTAACACTCTCCTCCTGGAGGTTACAAAAGTTACCTAGTCAAGGGGTTTCAGATCTTAATAAAAACTTAAATTTCTGACAAATTATATGTTTCACTATTTATTATGACCGAGATTATCTAAAATTTGATTTTTTTTTCGATCCTCTTATATTGTTGGGTGGACTATTGGTTTGGTTGTTTTTCTAAATGCAGAGTGCTCAGAGGAGTTTAAATTTTGAGGTGTGCTGTTTAAACCTTTAAACCTGCTGGATAGGAAAGGGCTTATCCTTTCCACCATTAGCTAAGAGCCAGGCCAGCTTGCGCATCCATACAGTCTGACCAGGTTCTATACTGTTGGCTGACCTGTAACTTCAAATTTTCATCTTGATATCCCACAAATTGATAAAGGACAGTTCCCAAAAAATAGAAACTGGACAAGTCCATTTAATAAATTCAGCAGTTTATTAGGGTTAAAAGACCAATCGTCTGAAAAGGTCATTTAATCTAGGTTCGACTGTAAAGTGTACTTAAATTCACACAGTAATTGAAAGTATCAATTTCTTCATTCCTTAATCAATTTCTCTGGATAATTTCATTTATAAAGGAAAAATTTCAGTTTCTAAGCACTAAATGGCTCCCTGTGTACCTGGGATAATTCAATTTCTTTAACAATAAATTTCCCCAGTACCTCTTTAATTCAGGGAGACACTGTAATGCCTCCTTAGGCCTCCTGACGTAACTTGGTAACTTGCATACAGAGAAAATAATGAAAAATTCATGAATATCAGATTTTTATAGCCATACATAACATACTGTCAAAGCTAGAAGTCATTTCCGATACTTATATATTACAGTTGTTAGTTTTTCTTTATAAATTTCCGCAAATAACTCACAATTTCGAAATTACAAAAATAAATAAATGAACAAATAAAAATATCTATTATTAATTGAAACCTATGTATTTTTGTCGGGGATCAAATTCTAATTTGAAACCGTAATATAATGAGTGTGAGGACCAGATGATTAGAAAGTCAGCAAAACATTATTATAAGACCTTTCAACAAAATAAAATTAGCTTTGTGAGACCCTCCCCCCCCCCCCCCAAAAGAAAAAAACAAAACAAAAAACAACAATATTTCAGAAACGGCCTTCCTTAATTCTCTAAGCTTTCCCAATGCGTTAAGGATTTCAAGCAAATATATAAATTAGTAATTCAAGAAACTATACATTTCAAGAATTATAGTCTAGACAAATTATGCTTTTTTTGCGTAATGTAATTCAAGAATATATAATGTATTGTATTATGAAAAGGGAAATAACAAATCTAAATAAACCTAAATGACATTTCTCCAATTTAATTCAACTGCAACATTAACTATCTTGAAAATTTCATCTTTTTGTTTATTTTTTTTTTTACAATAAGCTTTAATGAGATAGATAGTAAATCATTTCTGATCAGAAGAAGAAAACACATACAGAAGACAAAAGAATAATTCTGACTGCCAGATTTGTTGTCACCCTGGCATAAAATATTACTTGCTTAATGCAAGCTTTCCAATTCTAATGATAAATATCATGTTTACAAGCTACTTACATACAGCATTTTAGAGCTTCCTTTGATCTTCTTTCCAAAGTTTTAGTCAAAATAAACCTACAGAAAACATTCTAATAGTCTATATTGAATACTGTAATTAATAAGAATTGCTTTCTTGTTTACTGGTATCTGTTAACAAGAACAGTCGCTCAAAGCTTTCCCAGAGCTTTCCCTTAGTAATAATAATGTTGGTTAAACATTTTTTTTATCATAAAGGGCAAATTACTTAAGTGACCTAAAATTACTTTTGAATGCCTCAAAACTTGAAGCAAATATGAACATGGAATTTTTATGTTAACAAAGGGGAATAATTCCTTGCTAGAGTTATGGGTCTTGATCAATATTAACTTAAAGTTAATACCCTTGTGTTATAGTTTTTAGTAAACAGGAAAAATACCTTGTAGGCTGAGACTAGTAGTATGTTGTATAGTGTAATTGTGTTAAGTTTATTAAGGGGAAGTACTCAGTAAAAAAAATCCCTGCTAGAGTTGTGGCTCTTGATCATGAACAACACTTAGCGTGTGATTCCCAATGCAATTCTGAAGTTTTAAGTGAACTTAATGATGACCTTGAACAGTTATAATGTCAGATGATGCAATCTAATTTAAACAAAGTGTGAGACTCAGATGCATTTTCAAATTATTTTTTTCATGAAATCTCCATCTAAGTCATGTTAAATAATCTTTCTTTTTTTTTAGATAAGTGGCAGATATCACAAAAATATATTCCCTTAACATGTATTTTTTTCATAAATCTGATAAAAATGAAAGTCCCTGCGTTATAGAATCCATGTTTCTCTGAGGAAACGCTGTTTTACTTTTAAATTTTTTTTTTTGTATTACAAAATACTTATCAGCACTTTCCCACCAAAGGATGTTGCTGATAAAAAATATAACTAAAGTCTCAAGGATACTTCCTCTACATTTTATACTGAAGCTTTTAGGCAACACATTAAAGAATATTAACCATAACAAATTATATTCTGTTCAATGATTTTTTTTTATAATAGAAATAATGTTAAAACATGAAACCCATTAAGTTAAAGCTGATTTTTTTTCCAGACATTCTGTTGATAGTAGAAATTAGTCCTCTTATTTACACTTCAATTATAAGGGGTCTGATAAATTTACTACTGGTTGGTATTTTTACATTAAAATTTTGGAGTGGGGGGAGGGGGTATCATGCATGACTTAAACACTGTGCTATGATGTGATTGGTGCAATATTAACTGTGGTAAATTTAAATTTATAATTATATATATAGCAAAATAATTCTAATATAATGATGTCAGTGTATCCAAGTTAGAGAATATTTAAATTATTTCAAATTCATGACACATTAATCAATGACAATAATTGTCACTGAAACATTAATCTAAATGTTATAATGCAAAAACTGAAGACAACTACCAAGTTGACAACAACAATAACAACAACAACAATATTCTACAATTTCATGAAAATCCTAATATAAACTTGAAATTTGTTTACAGATATCTTTAAAATCATTACCTGTAGAAAAAGACCGCCTCTTAGCATGGTGATGATCCGTAGAGAATGTTCTCACAAGTTTAAAACTTGGGCTTTTCGACAATTTAAACTTCCTTCCACTCATTGTTTATGTTAAAATTAATACCTTTTTAAAACTCCAGTCTCCATTGTTTAAAAGTTTATTGTCAATTTCCATTTTATTTTTAAAATTTATAAACAACAATACTTCCGAGCTAAAATTGACTCAACAACAATCATCCTTTGTTATAATTATAAATGTTGAAAAATTTTTTTTCAAACTGCTGACTTTCCTATCACAACTTGAAATCTCAATTTAACCAAGCTATTGTGTACTCCTTTCCCCCAGTTAGTTCATTCGCGATTTTCTTCTCTGGCTGTAATTATCTTCCTATACCTTTATTGGTTAACAGTTTTTAAAGAAGTCTGTGTTATTTTTTTTTAATTATTTCTAAATATGAAATTTTCTACGTATTTCAGGAAAGAAAAAAACCCTGCTGTTCCAGACGGTATTAAACCAAACGGTCTTGATCTTGCTGGCAGATGATCGTTATATTCTCACACTGAATTATATTATTAATATGGTTAATAGCCATGGTAACGTTTAGAATACAAATATCAAGAAACTTTGTACAAGATCGACCCTAAAACTTCCAAATTTGTCTACGATAAAATATCCATGTCATTCTTTCTGGAGTAAATCAAACAATCTTACAGCCAAAATTTCCCTAGATAGTCAAAAACCATTCAAAAATATTTTTTTCCCGTGAAATATATCACTGTCAGTCAAATGCTTTATTCTCGCTTTTATTCCATTTCTTAGATACTAATGATTCCTGTACAATTCACTTCTCTAGCATGAAACATTATGGATTTATTTTCCTATCTGAAAATCTTCTCTAGAATGAAATATCATAGATTTATTTTCCTATCCGAAAATCTTCTTTGACACATTGACCTTACACAGTTAGCCAGATAACTGTCAATTAAGTATCAAATAATCACGTCTGCCTCGGATAAACATAGAACTTCATCTGTACAATTTCCATATCAAATATTACCATTTTTGCTGATTTCCATTTTAAACCATATTTCACCAATTTCCATTTTAAAGCTAAAACAACAAATTTAGAATTCACTCTTTGCTATTTTGGTCTGCTATAATTATACTTAGCTACATGTATGAATTAGAAAGATTCATTTAACATTAATAAATATTAATTCACTTATATATGCACCTTAGCTGTCACATGGGTGATAAATCATGTCAACAACTTTATAAACTGTCAACATTCAAAATGTCTTAATTCAATATATCAAACCAGTTTTATATCAACATTAAACTAATTTTTGACTGTTTGTTTAATTATACATACAACTTAACTTTTATTTCCATTTTTATCCTTGACACATAAATGTAAACACAAATCTACATGCTCCGCTCCGACACCTAATACTATAATACACCCTCTGACAAAATAATGTAAAAATATCATTTTCACGCCCTAGCGAAAATTTCATGATTGAAACATGTCTTAACATGTTTTAAACACGTTCTTACATGTTATTTCGAAATGTTTGAACATGTTTTGAACATGTTTTAAACATGTTTAAACATGCACGTGAAATGGCACCATGATCTAACATGATCAGTCAACAATCGTGATTAGTCATGTTTGATGATCAAAAAAAGAGTAACATGGTCAATCACATTTTGACATGTTTTTGTTCTATCCAGCAATCATGCTTTGGACATGTTTGAAAACGTTCACAGAACATGTTTTAATATGGTTGATCATGTAACCTACTTTACTTTCAAACACATCTAAACATGATTAAAAATGTCCCCAAAACATGATGGAACATGTTTAAACATTCACATTAAATGGCAATACGATCCAAACATATCTAAACATGTTTAAACATATACAAATCAAGATCCCATAACATGGTAGAACATGTTAATATATCCAAATCAAGGGGTCATTTGACATTTTCAAACATGTTCAAACATTTCCAAAAGAACAAAGCTGAAATTGTTTTAACCCAGCACAGGTCAAAGGAACAGAGCTGACATTGTTTTATATCAGCACAGGTCAACAGACAAAGGCAATCACAAAAGTTCATCTGGAGTACGCTCAGATGAGGTAAAACTTAAATTACACCTTTTTAGATCAGAACCCTGGACACAATTCTTTTTTATTTCTTTTCTTTCTTTTTTTTCAGCACAAAAGTTAATTTTCATTATGAATACTTGATTAACATTGTCACTTGGAATACTTCTGCTTCACATTTTGTGTCTTAATGACCACTTCCTTGTCAGTGATATCAAAATGTTTCTGAACGAGCTTTGGCAGGATCAAACTTGGTCTTTGTTGGCCTTTTTACCAGTTGCACTATGGTTTTGAATTTCTTTGATGGTGAAGAACATACCTCTCCAGGACATCCTCCAGATGATCAAATGTTGCAAACCTGCCAAAGAAAGCACTGACTTTGAATAATGTTTTCTGCTAATTCAGTTTTATTCACCTACATATTTTTAAACCTTTTATTATTTAAAAAAATGTTTTATCATCAAAATATCGGATCGCGACAACATGTGACAATTGAAATTAGTGGGTGCTGAAATTAAATGCTGATTTCAAGAAGTGGGTACATTAATCAATACATATTAATATAAGAATGTATTTTCAATTGTATTACGTTAGAACGGGCAAAATTCGTGTGCTACACAAGCAAAATAAATCATTTTATTTTTGTACTTATCCGGACTTCGTGTTATCCGAAAAAAATGTTAATAAATGACAAAAAAACTTTATAATTTGACAGTTAAAATCTCTTTTTTAAGTTAAGTTTCATTCATTTATAAGTGGAAATTTTGTGGCTATGAGAATTTAAATAATTTCCTCAAAAATCTCCAGATATATGGTCGATTGTTCCTTTAAAAAAATCAGGACAGGTTGCCAAATTTTCGGTCGGCCGTCTGGACCGATAACTTTCCAGAAGACTGGCATTTTGCTAGGTATATTTTGGATGACCTTTTGAATTTTAATTGAAAGCAAGAGCAGTCTTATTTTAATTATCAAGATTGTCCTTGTGCTCGGAAGCATGCGTGCAGATGAAGAACTTACTTGCGATGGGTATAGCAGGATACCATTTCTCCTGGAACATGGCAAATGTTCTTGTCCAAGGCATTAACCCTACCCGATCAGCGGCAGTGCTGACAAACGACCAGTTGTTCTCCAAAGTCCAATAAATAAGCACTTTCATTTTTCAGCCATTTTGATTTTTCCCTCGTTAAAAACTAACCGCACATGTATTCTTGTAATCTATTGGTTGCTAAATATAAACTTTGGGTTTGGTGGCGCTGAAGGTAACGTGATTTTCTAAACCGGAAGTATAGAAAGATAACACTTGAAGAAACTGTAAACATGCGATTTTGGTGGATTTCGAGGTTTTTAGAAGCTGAAGAAGGTAAATGTCATTATATATAACAATATGTTTTGTTCTGACACCACGGCAAGTGCTGCAACCCGTTTGCTAGCTGTATATTTATTATTAGAATAACATCCGGAATAGTCCGTAAGTTCCGTATTTTAGCCAGCCTCAAGGATTTTTGTGAATCGCGTAAATCCGTTCAGATTTCTGAGGGGTATAGGTTGCCTCTTATCTCGAGTGAGAACTGAAAGAACTCTATTGCCCATTTGATTTTATAAACAGGTGATGTTTTTGTCCGTTTGGCTTTCGTTAAATACAAAAAGTTTTTTTTGTGCATTATGAACAATTGTGTGCATTACGCACCTTGGTATGAATCAACGCTTCTGATTGGTCGAACAAGTTGTGATTGTCGAATCAGATTTTAGAAAACAGTGACCGGCTAGTTTGTACTTCCGTAAAAAACAAAACAAAAAAATTCTCATCATGAAGTTTCTGCCCGCGAGGCAAAATACCAAAGACCTAGAGAGAAAAAAAGGAATGTTGCAAATATTTGGCGATGGCCGTCCTTAAATGAAATTAATTCCTAGGGGTATTTATGGGGATATTTGGCTACGGAAACATGGGAAACCGGCGGCACAAATCGACCCGCACGAAGTACCCAGACTATACCCAGAATAGATACACCCAAATAAAAGGCAAATATAGTAATGTTCATCTTTGTTTGCCTAATATATAATTATTTTTGTAAAGAGAAAATAAATTATTTTTTATAAAATAACTTGAATAAGCCGGCTGTAACTGTCTTTCATTTACATTTTTAAGAAAATTAACTTGTGAAATTTGATTTGCTGATCTAGATTCATTAATAATTGCAATTTAAGATAAAGATATGATAATATTTGTTGTCTACATTTAAATTTTTAGGGTATAATTTTGTTGTTATTTCATACAAGTGTCCATCATATTATTTTTTTTAATTTAATTTTATAAGGACAACTTTTAGGGCGTCCGTGGCTGAGTGGTTAAGGTCGTTGACTTCAAACCACTTGCCCCTCACCGCTAAGGGGTCGAATCCTGACAGGGACTTTGGATTCTTTCATGTGAGGAAGCTATCCAGCTAGCTTACGGAACGTCGGTGGTTCTACTCAGGTGCCCGTTCGTGCCTGAAATAATGCACGGAAGGGCACCTGAGGTCTTCCTCCACCAGTAGAGCTGGAACGTCGCGATATGACCTATACTGTGTCGATGTGACGTAAAAACCCAAAACAACAAAAAGCAGTAGCAAAAAATCTACAAGGTTGAGTACCAGTTACTTTGTGATATTTTGCATGTATAGAAAGTTGCTAAAGCAGAGACGGTATTCCTTTAGCCTGTATATTTGATTTTTTGCCAGAGGGATGAAATGTGTTGTTTTGGGGCTCGGTCCACTGTAGATTTTTGGGCTTCAACGGAATGAATTGCATTTTTTTTACTGCCTGCCTATTGCAGATGGGATAATTTCTTTGTAGATTTGCAATCTTATGTCATATATGTTCTCAACAAAATGTGTTTTTTTTTTCCAGGTTGTGTAGTTTGGTATCAGAATAAATAGACGTATTACTTGTAGGACATTGACGGCTGAGGAACTTGAAATTAACTGTAGAGTGCTACCTTAAACATGTATGAGTATGACAATTTCTATGACCATGAAAATACAAGAAAGAGTCATTCGGACATAAATTTGGATGTAAACAATAAACTTCAAGTTAACAGATCTGTATGTCAGAACTATAAGTACAGAAATGATTGCTGATGTG